GACACTCTCCTGGGCCCACAGAAGGCTGCATCAGCCGCTGTCCCCAAAAGGCAGGCGGGGCAGTGAGGACTGCATCAGGCGTGGCTTCTAGCTGGGTTCCAGGGCAGCGGGGTGGGCTGGAGGACCAGGAGCTGCCCCATGTCGCTGCTCACCTGTCCTCCGCAGGCCGGGGGGGGGGGGGACTGGCTCTCAGCTGGGAGCAGTGGGCCGAGGACAGCAGGCGGGGGCTCTCCCGCCAGCGGCCTGCATGTGGGGTGGGGGGTGGGGTGCTGCAGGCCATGGGTTTCTGGAGTCAGGGTCACTGCAGGGTCATCCTGTCACCACATGCTGCTGGCTGAGGCCGGGGCCTCCAGGTGGAGGAGCGAGGGCCCAGGGCGGTTTCCTCTCTGACGCCCCTGCTTCTCTCCAGCTGCCGGAGTCCCACCTGGGCTGCCACCATGTGGTGGCTCGGGATCCCCAGTGTGGTTGCAGGAGTGGGCCTTGAGCCACACTTGGCCTGGCTGCCTTTGTCCCTTCAAGGTGACACTTTTGAAAGGCTGCACAGTGAGCCACAGGGATACCCCGGAAGCCACCTACTCCTTGGGCTTCACCCTTCCTTCCCTGCTGCCAAACTTGTTTGAACTGGGAGATGGGAAACATCTTAGAATTGAGTTTCTCAGAGCATAGCCTGAGCTTGCTGGGGCGCAGATTTCAATGGCGGACATGGTGAGGCATGCCTGTAATCCCAGCGCTTGAGAGGCTGAAGCAGGAAGATTGTTTAGAACTAAGACCAGCCTGGGCTACAAAGTGAGCACAAGGCCAGCCTGAGCCACAAAGCAAGACTGTATCTCAAAACAACCAGAACAAACAATGCAAACAAAACAATTTATGGGCCAGTGAGATAGCTCAGTGGACTAAGAAGCTGCTTAGGCAAGCGAAGGGACTAGGGTTTGATCCCCATCACAACATGCCTCATGCTGAGACAGTGACCCCGCCTGTAATTCCAGCACTGGGGGGCTGAAAACAGGAGGATCACTACGAGTCTGATCTGCGTAGTGAGACCCTGTACCAAGTATATTTTTAAAAATTTATGTGAAAACTCAACACATGGGGCCGGGGAGATGGCTCAGTAGAATAAATGCTTCCTTGGTAAGTGCAAGGGCCTGAGTTCAATCTAAAATTCCACCAAAAATAAATAAATAAATAAATAAATAAATAAATAAATAAACCTTAACATGCTACACAAATTTTCCTCCCAGGAATATTAATTTTTTGCCTTTTTTTATTTTAGGGAAGGGTCTACAGGATGTTCAGGGTCTCACTACTAGATTGGACTTGTAGTGATCTGCCTATTTACAGCCTCCCAAGAGCTGGGATTACAGGCATGCACCACCATGCCCAGTCTCAATTGCCATTTTAGCATGCCCCTGGGGTAGGGCTGTCATGGCAGGCCTGGGGATCAAACCCCCGGCTTCTGCGTGTGCTTGCAGGTGCTTTAATCCACTGAGGTATTTGGCCAGCCCTATGTTAAATTACTATTAATGAACTACACATCTGTGCTGTTCAGGACACATAAATTAAAACACAGGACCTTAGGCATGGTTTGACCCCAGCCTTAGGAATTCTACTTGTGTTTAAGGTACAATGCCAGTAGGTGGCGACGATGTCCAGCCAGAGAGAATACTCAAGCCCTCTTCCTTAGAGTGGTCACTCAAAGAAGGGCTGAGACTCAGTTTCTCTATCTGTAAAATGGGAACAAAACTACCCAAGTGAGGCCACCTAGAAGAAGTCCTCTTGCATATAGCGAGATCTGCTTCTAGCTGGGTGATTCTGAACATTTAAATCTATACCTGGCTGAAACACGCCACTTACGGGCTGTGTGTCCTTGGGCTAGCTACACAACCTCTCTGGCCTGGGTTTCTCTCTCAGTAGCACGGGACTGGTGCGGGGTCCAGGCTCCAGCCACACGCTGGCCACAGTCCCTGTGTCCTCTCTGCAGCACAGACTCGGGGTCCCAGGTCCAGGCACCTCCCAAGACTGTGGGCTCTGTTCAGGGCATTCTCACTGCCAGACATGAGTCACAGGTGAGCAAACCACAACCCCGAGGCTCGCTCCACACCTGGTCTCAGGGTTGGCTCTGGCCACCCTGCGGAGACAGCGTGACCAGCCCGCCGGAGAAGAGCCAGCTAGCGTACAGCCAGCAGCGAAGATCGGAGATCGGGAGAAGGCCCGGAGCTGGGAGGCTGTGTTTGGAGTATTTTTGTCCCTCAGGGGTGTCCTGCTCCCATCTGTGTGTGCAGCTGAAAGGCAGCTCAGAAAATAAAAAGTGCCGGGGGCCACCAGGTGGGCGGCGGCCGGCTGGATCCCTGCTGGGCCGGCTGCAGGAGGCAGAAGCCCCGGCCACCACTGAGCCTGATGGGATCTTCTTCAGCCCACTCTGCGGTCCCTGTGCTCTGCGACCTTGGTTGGAGGAGCCACTCTCCCTCCAGTTCTGCTCTGTCCAAATCAGGACCCAATCCCTGCCTTCCCTTTGGAAATGAGGTGTGGGACAGACAGAGCAGCCGGAAACCTCGTCTCCCCAGGCAAGCCTTCTCTTGGGAAGGAACAGAAGGGGCTCCAAAGCCCCCCTCGCTCCCTCTCCAAACCAGACATGCAGTAATCATCCCAATGCCTCATTCATCCACTGATTTATTCATTTCACACGCTTGGTCAGGCCCGGCGTGTCCTCCTGTCTCCAGGCCCTTTATGCCCGCAGCATCCGAGGGAGGAGGTGCGCGTGAGAAGCCAGGAATGCTTGCCCCACTGGTGGGGAAAGAGGCAAGGCTCCATTGGGCACAGAGAGGAGACAATATGGGAGGGAGCAGTTTCTCTCCCAGAGGCAGAAATTTTGCCATCAGAAGGTCTAGAAGGAAGCTGGCTTAATTTTAGAGTGTGGAAGTTCAGTGTCAATTCCTAAAATAGCACTGCATTTTGAATTGCACAGGGCAGGTGTGTGTGTGTGTGTGTGTGTGTGTGTGTGCGCACACACGCAAACTTGTGCATATGACCCCAGTTTTTCCCCAGCTGGGGGTGTAGGTCTCAACTCAATCCCAGCCTCACCCATCCCAGCTCCTGCTGCGTCTGTCCGTTGTATCCTAGAGGCTCCAGCCTCAGTTTCCCTCTGCTTTATGACCCCTCCCCTTGTGGGATCCTCCTTCCTCCCCCAAGTGGGTGGCTGCCAGGGGACACTGAATGTCCTCTTCAGAGCATCCCATACACTGAACTCTGCTCCTTTTCACAGCTCAGCTCTGCAGAGTCCCAGGTCATAACTGTCAGAGCCCTGGATGCTGCTGTCCTGAGTGGATGGGAGTGAGGCAGCTGGGCAGACTTTCTGCTGTCCCGGGACTGGAATGAGGAGGGGCGTTGTGTGGGGTGCAAACAGTGAATGTTCATAATTCTAGGTTCAAGCTTCTATACACTCAGTAGATACCAGGCCCCATACTAAGTACCTTGCATTCTTGACTAATTCAAATAACTCTATGAAGCAAGTTTAATTATTGACCAGGAGGCTGAGGCAGGCAGATTTCTGCAAGCTTGAGGCCTGTATTTGAGACCCTGTCTTAAAGACAGAAGAGTTGGGCAGATCAATTAAGTTACTTGCACACAGTTGTTAAGACGAAGAGGCTGCATCCCAGAAGTGTACCTCAGGGAGGGGGGTGAATGCTATGCCCCTCCCGGAAGTGCCCCGTGCCTCTTCCTGGGCTGCGTGGGAAGCGGCGGGCTGGCATTCAGGCAGCTTTCTGGGATCTGCTGGGGCATCCTGGAGGCCGATCTTCCTCACCCCTTGCATGGAACATGTCCAGGTGTGCTCCAGGACACCATCCCAGCCTCCTGTCAATTTGCCCTGGCTTTGCTGGACCCTTCTGCGTTTGGCTCCCACCTGGGGAGAGCCAAATCAGAATCCCAGTTGTTGCTCAGCATCAGAGGGAAAGGCTGCCTTCTCTAAGAAGCCTTCCCAGACCCCCCCACTGCAGAGCCCCCGACCTTGTCCTGGACACTGTCTTAGGCTGTCCTGTTCAACCTTTGGGCGGGTTCTGTGCCCTGGCTTCGCCAAAAGGTGAATCCTGGGCTGCTTTACTCAGCTTGTGGTCAGGAATCAAGGAATTAGGCACCTGAACTGATGCACTTCAGTGCTTCAGGAGAGGGAGATCAGGAGGGGCAAACAGGTGACACCTGGGAGCCACGAGTCTGTGGCAAAGTAGAACCTCTATGGCCAGGGCCCCCAATCCTCTCTCACAGGGACAGAGCCACAGGCCCTGACCTCCTGCACTCCACCTTTCCCTCTCTCTGCTTTTCTGGGTGGTCCACACCACCATGAAACACACTCCTGTACTGCTAGTATTTTGGGGTTTGTTAAGGCAGAGTCTGTCTACATAGACCAGGCTGGGCTCCAACCGGCAACCCTCCTGCCTCAGTCTCCCCAGTGTGGGTCTTTCATTCCCAGCTTATCTTGCAAATATGGAGTCTCCTGCCCAGTTCTCCGCAGCGTCTGATGCACAGCAGGCCCAAGGTGGACGGGTGGTAAGCGTTGCACCTGCTGAACGAACCCCCAGCCCATGCAGTGTCCTAGCTCTGGGATGCACTTGGGGTGAAGGTTGCTGGGGGTCAACTCTCAGATCCCCAACGCCCTAAGCCCAGAGCGTCCCGAAGAGCTGGCTTGGGGCCTGATTTGGGGACAGCACGTCCAGCTGGACCAACAGCCTAAGGGTTTGTTACTCTGCCTGTGGGGGGTAGCAGGGGTGGTATAGGGCAGGGGCGGAGGGAGCGCCGTCCAGAGCCTCTCCCACGCAGGGGACGGACCTGTCACCCTTCTCTAAGCCGCTCGCTGCCGCTCGGCCCAGCCGCAGCCACCTGCGCCCCCATGCGCCGCCATTGGCTGAAACCGCGCCCCTAATCCGCGCGCTCGCGGCGCCGCCCCCCGCTCCGCGCGCGCTGACCTCGCTCCTCCTCCTCCCCCCGCAGCCCCGCGACAGCCCGGGGACGACGCGGTGGCCGCAGCAGCGCCGGCCTCCTGCTCCTCCTTCTCCTCCTCCCCCGGGAAGCCATCCGGGCTTGAGGCCCGGCCTGGCGCCCGCTTCGCCCCGTGCTGCCCATGGTGCCCGGCGCTCCTGCGCCCAGGTAGGGTCTGGACCGCGGGGTGCGGGGTGCGCAGGCCCCCGGAGGGATGGGGCTGTCACCGCGGAAGAGGTGCGCACGCCCGAGGGTGCTGCCAGGGCATCGCAGGGGACAGTGCCAAGATGCCCCTGGCTGGCCCTCGGGGGACGAGCTGGCAGCCAGGCCTTTGCTCTGGGGGAGGCACAGGAAACAGGTTCCTTGGGAAGTGGGAATTGGGGTGCTGCTTCTGCTACCGGCTGGGTGGGTGGGCTTGTGCCAGCTTGGGGCGGAGGCTATTTCTGGATCAGAGTGGGCCTGGAGACGCACAGCAAGCAGCTGCTGCCCGGGCTGTCTGGTTTGGATTACAGGTACTTCCTTCTGTCTTTCCATCCCTTCCCCCACGGCTGGGGGAAGGGCAGGGCGAGGAGGAGGGGACCGAGGAGGCCCGCAGATGCCGCAGCAGCCTGGTGTGCAGGCGGGTGCTGCCCTCCCCTGCCCTGCCTGCCTCCCAGCTCGCTGCCCTTGGAGCTCTCCACTGGCCTGTTTTTGCCCTACAGGAGGCTGGGGAAAGGTTACAGGGTCATCAGGGTGTGAGGGACACAGTGGCAAAGGCCAGAGCCTGGTCAGACGCAGCCTGGAACCACAGCTGTCCCACACCCCCAAAGCCTGGCTCTACACCCCATGACCAGTGACACATGCGGCCCCCTTTTAGGTTCAAGCAGAGACCACCACACTGCCAAGGCCCCTGGCACGACTGGGGTGCAGAAGGGAGGGTCTGCAGTGATTTGGGAGCTCTGCCCCTTACCCTGTGTCCCTCGGGTCACCTCCCAGTGTCCGGGGAGAGAGCCTCCTGCCCCATCCGCTGGCCTGCGGCTTGGTTATTTATGTCTCCTCTAGACTGGAGTGCCCTCGGGGCAGGAATCTGATTCATCTCTGTCTCTGTCCCGCACCTGGCTGGGGGTTGGCACCAAATGGATGTGTGCAGAGCCAATGTACAGTAGAATGAATGAACAGGAACGCCAAGAGCTGGCCACCTGTGGGGGTGCAGTGAGGCCCCCCCTTGGGTCTTCCTTCTGCTCTCTAGAACCAAACCCTGCCCCAGCCGGGCAGCTCCCTGGAGGCCTTTCCTGGGCTTTTGGAGGAAGCAAACACTACAATCCTGCTGCTTCCAACAGGTCTTGTTGGGTTCTGGTTCCGGGGTGCTGACCTAGCTCAGAGGCTCTGAGCCCCAAGGCTTGAAGGCCCCCACCACTGCTGCACTTTCCCACCTCCTTGCTCTTTGGGCAACCACCAAGTCCCCATGTGTGTGGCTGTGTCCCCTCCCCAGCCCAGTCACTGGTCCCCAGCTGCTGGGAGCTGCTTTCAGTTCCTTCACGGCCGAGCTGCCCTCTGCCACCTGCGCGGCTCCCCCCACCTCTCTCTGGAGATTTCTCTCCCTTCCAGAACCTGCTTCAAGGCCTGTGGCCTCCCCTGGGGTCCCTTGCAATGTACATGTCCTCTCCAGCTTTTGTCTGCCATCTGTCCCTGGCTGTGGAGTCCAAGAGCTCAGGGCCCACGTCCTGTTGTTCCTGGTGTCCCACCTTGTTCTGTGGACCGTGTGAGGTGCTGTGGTCCCCTCTGACCTCCAGTCTGGGTCAATGTCTTCTCTCCCATTAGAAGATGGGGCCTTGGTCTTCGAGGTCATAGCCGCACAGGTGTCAGTGGGACCCATGGGTCTGGGGGTGTCCTGGGGGAAGTGAAAGCGGCAGGCACTGGCGGGGAAAAGCCGGGGACTGGCCAACGCTGCAGGAAGCAGGCGGAGGCGCTGAGAGGAGGCCGCCTACGTAGGAAGAGGGCTTTTTGGTTTGGCTTTCCAATTTTCTTAGAGAAGAAAAAAATCTTTGACTTTTTTTTTTGTTTTGTTTTTTGAGATGGGGATTTGCCCAGGCTGGTCTCGAACTCAGTGATCTTCCTGCCCCAGCCTCACCACATCCAGCAGTTGTTTTTTTTCTTATTGTCAAAGTAATCAGTGTTTGCTGTGGGCCATCTGCAGTGGGGGCACCGGGTGGGCTTCACCCCTGACATGGGGGAGGAGATGGCTGCAGGCTACCGTGACTTCCCAGCAGCCCCGGAAATGGGGGTTGTCCCCAGTGGGAAAGATGGGCAGGAGGACCTGGAGGGCCTTCAGTGTATGTGTGTGGGGTACTCCAGAGCTTCTTGCTAGAGTCCCTGTGGATGAGGGGGGTAGAGGGCCTGGCCTGCTGTTAGACATCAGCTGATACGGACATCAGGTAAACACAGGGTAACCAGTAAAGTTGACATGTCAGGTAAATAAAAAAAATATTCAGGGCCAGGGAGATAGCTCAGTAGAATAAGCGTTTGCCTGGTAAGCACAAGGGCCTGAGTTCAATCACTGGTTGCGCAAAAAAAAAAAAAAAAAAAAAAAAAAAATATTATTTTTAGCTATAAGTTCATCCCTCATAGTGCATAGGACATATTTGTACTGGAAAACAAAACAAAACAAAACAAAACAAAACAAAACAAAACAAAACGCAGTACGCTGAAGACTAGCATGGTGTCACAGGCTTGTAATCCCAGTGCTCTGGGAGGCTGAGGCAGGATTGTACATTACAGCCCAGCCTGGGCAGTTTAGTGAGACTTTGTCTCAAAATAAAAGGGCCTGGGGCGGAGCTCAGTGTGAAGGTCCTGGGCTCCATCTCTGGACTACCATACAAAGCAGAACAGCCAGAAAAACCCAAAAGTCTTCTCTGGGGAGAGGGGCATACTGCAAAGCTCAGGGTAAAACCCTTGCCTTGTGTCCTGCGGGCCCTGGGCTCAGCCTATCTCTCTAAAATCAAATTCGCTGGGTGTCCTACATTTTTATTGACTCCATGTGGCCACCGTAGGCAGGAGAGGGTCGGGCTGGGGGCGGAGGTCCTATTTTTTCTGTTCTCTCTCAGCGGGTGGCTGGAGCAGCACGGGTCCATTTTTAGAAATCAGTGCAATGCTTAGAAAATTTTGCTTCCGTAAACTGTTTCTGCTGCTGCTTCAGGAGCAGCTCCCTTTTGTGGGTTTGGAAATGACAGGATGACAGTGTGCTTGCTGGTTTATTCAGGTGCGACAAAGGGGGATTTGATGGCCAGGGTGGGGGTCATTGAATAAGGTTAATCTGCTGGGGGAGCTGAAGATCCGCCGCCGCCTCTGCGGAGAGCGCTTGGCTGGCAGGAACCGTGGGAAGAGCTCACCCACGGTGGGAAGAGCGCTCTGGCGCCCCTTTTCAGCAGTGATCAAAGCTGTGACCAGGGTTCCCACTTTTGGGGACATTGCTAGCATGAAGCAGAACTAGCCAGGCTGAGTGGGTCAGCGAGCATTCAGCGGGCATCATAGACGTCTGCCAAGAGGACTGTGACAGAGCTAGGACCTGTGCGCACATTTTCTGTTTTAGTTTTTCATTTTTGAGGCAGGATCTCACCATGTAGTCTAGGCTGGTCTGAAACTCACTGCGTAGCCTGGGCTCAGGCTGGCCTCAAACTCTGGTGATTCTCCTGCCTCAGCCTCCCTCGGCGAGGTTCTTGCCACTGAGCCTGTGTACACACACAGTGGTTTATTTATTTATTAAATTTTTATTTATTTATGTGTGGCTAGCTCAGCCCACCAGGGGGCGGGGGATGTGGTGCTGGGGGATTGAACTGCGGTCCCTGTGCTTTGCTGAGCTTGTTCTAAGTAGATGCTTTAGACCACTGAGCCATCTGACCAGCCCATACACAGTGGTTTTAGACAGGCCTTCATCCTTGCATTTAGCTGGGACTCTCTGCTGAGTGTCAGCTGTGTGCCAGGCACTATGTTAGGTGCTTGGGGACTTGGGAGTTGCAGCAGCCTTTCCCAGATTTCCTGCCCCCCCCCTCCCCCCGCCTTCAGCCCCCTCAGCCAGAGAGATCCTTCATCAGATTCCCTTCCTCCTCTGCTCACCTTCTTTAGGGATGCCCATGTCATTCAGAATAAAACCCAAAAGTCCTGAAAAAGCCCTTTAACACCTGAGTTTGTAGATGCATATAATCCCAGCTATTAAGGAAGCTGAGGCAGGAAGATTGCACGTGTGAGTCCTGCCTGAGCAGTTTAGACTCTGTCTCAAAGTAAAAATTTTTAGGGGGCCTGCCCCTTAGCCCAGTTCTTTAAGTGGCTGCTTCAACCAAGCCATCAGGCTGAGGTTGCTGGGGTTCGAGCCCCACAACTCAAGCCAGCCAAACCTGCCCTGAAGGCATTGAAGCAAAAAAAAAAAAAAAAAAAAGTAAGAATTTTTAGAAAGGATGAGCTGTAGCTTAGCTTTCTGGGTTCAATCCCCCCCCCCCCAAAGCTCCTGTAACAGCCCGCAAGCCCCACACGATCTGGGTCATTCTAGAACGTAGCAGACGGTCTGTCCCAGGGCCTCTGTACTGCTCTCCCCTCATCATCTCTGTCTTCCCAGCCCCTCATCCTCTGAGCCAGCCTCCTCCGGGCATACACCCCTGGAACTGTAGCCCTGTGGGCTTCTTCTGCCCGACTACCCTGAGCTGTCTGAAGGCCGGTGAGGTGGCACGGAACTATGGCACTTCCTGTCCGGGATTGGGCTTGCAGGAGCAGAGCTGAGCCAGGGGATCCCGAGCACACGGTCTGTGGTTGGCTTGCTCATGGGGCCAGAAGGATGTGCCTGTGCCCGTCCCCAGGGCCTAGAGCAGGGGCCATTGAGCTGTCCTTCCCCTTGCGCATCCTCTGTCAGGTGGCCACTGGCTGCAGCTACTTCCAGGAGACAAACCTCTGCATCTTGAGCCAGGCAGGTCCTGTGAGCAAGGGTGACAGGGAGAGGGGGACTGCTGGGAACAGCCAGCCCCCACGGCTTGGGGAAGCAGTGCGACAGAGAGCAGGCATGGTGCTGCGCTGGGTCCTGTGCATCTGCTTTGCCTGCGGGGCCGCCTCCTTCAAGATCCCCATTTCGCAAACAGGGGAGTCGAGGCTCTGCAGGGTAAACTGAGTCGCTCAAGGCAAAGCCGCACGGAGAGCCGGGCCTG